TTAAGGATACCATACCTTCGGCACCCCCTTCGGCACCTAAGTTTTTCTACAGTTGGGGGAAGTGCAAGTGGGATTTATTCATCAAGGACTTCGACGCACAACTTCCGGCATACGACTATAAAAAGCAGTCCACCGGCATCAAAGCTTTCACGAGAGCGCTTATAACTTCGTATCGATGACACTGCCCCCGCGGCATGCACAAGGACGGTCCCAGGCTTTGGGACGACACTCTCATGGAGGCAGAGCGGATGGCTACCGACAGCAAGGCCCGCTATCTACAGTTACCGACGCCCGACCGTGAGGCAGAAATGCAACGGACAAGGAGTCAATTCTTCCTCCTGCTCCGAGAGCGCTTGCGCAGCACGTATCTACGCCGCATCAGCAAGTTAAATCCAGGCGAGCCACTCGCATGGAAATACATTTCCGGACGAAAAAGGGCATCACTTCCATCTCCCACATCAATGTTATTAGGAGATGGTCAACACACTTATAAAACAGCAAGGAGAGCAGCGAATGCTCTCAATCGCATCTTTCTTCCATTTCACCCCTCTCACAAGGCAGTTAGGTTTTCCAAAGGCATCAACAGACAGAGTGCATCCTTGAACATTAATGCTTCTTTTCTTTTTGGGCAGCAGAACAACAACGAGTCTGCCGCTACATTTACTTCATTTTCTTCTACTTCTTCTAGCTCCGAGCCGCAGGATAAAAACGAAGCTGCCACCAAATCTGGTTTAGTTGCTCATCTTCACTCCCCTCTTGATGCACCTTTTAATCGTACGGAACTGCTTGCTGCGCTACGTAATACGCCTTATGGCAAGGCCCCCGGACCGGATGAAGTCTACAGTGAGGCACTGCGACATATTTCGTCAAAGGGCCTCCGATTCCTTCTTCGTTGCATTAACCACAGCTGGACGACCGGTACGATCCCGGTTGAGTGGAGACGCGCTACCATCGTTCCGCTCTTAAAACCCGGTAAGTCGCCGGAACTGCTTGAGTCATATCGACCCATCAGCCTTACCTCCATTGTGAGTAAGGTTGCTGAGAAAATGGTACTGAAGGGATTGCTTTGGGTGTGGACGCCGCACCCCCACCAGTATGCATATCGTAGTATGCGTACCACGACGATGCAGCTGGCACACCTGATACACGAAGTGGAGCATAATAGAAATCACTATTTCCAAGTGAGCCTTCCCAAGAAGAGCGGTATTGGCAATCAACTCCACTACAGACCCCATCGGACCCTGCTGGTGTTGGTTGATTTCAGCAAGGCCTTTGACTCCATAGATCATCGAGTCCTCAGTCGCTTGCTGGCTAATATTCCGGGGGTGAATTGTAGAAGGTGGCTTAGAAACTTTCTATGTGGTCGCTACGCGAAGACACGAGTTGGCCACAGACACAGCGATCGGCGTCCCATGCTGCGAGGAGTTCCTCAGGGGTCCGTGCTGGGACCGTATTTGTTCTCCCTTTACGTACACCCACTTCTCAATCTGCTGAACGGCTTTGCGGGTGTCACAGCAGACATGTATGCGGACGACCTCTCTATTATCGTTAAGGGGCAGTCCCGGGAAGACGCCATCCCCACTGCCAACATGGTTCTTCAAAAGCTGCATGCGTGGAGTCAGGAAAATGGCCTGGCCATCAACCCGTCAAAGTGTGAAGCTGCTTGGTTCACACTTTCCACGCACACGGAGTCCGATTATGATCGTGAAGGAAGGTGGCCGCTGGCAGTGACTGGATGTCAAATCCCAGTCATGACCATGGGGGCGTCGCGAACTACGAAGCTTCTCGGCATGGATCTCGATCCACGACTGACGCTAAATGCGGCGGCCACCAAGCAATGCGCTGCCACTTCGCAACGGATATCGCAGCTACGCTGCATAGCGCACAAAGAGGCGGGACCATCTCCACATGACCTACGCACTTTCGTCATTGGATACGGTGCTTCCAAATTACGCTATGGCAGCGAGCTCATATGGGCAGTAGCGACGGATTCAGCGAAGAATGAGATGCAGAAGACGTACGCAACCCTAGCACGCATTGTCAGCGGAGTTCCGAGCACTGTCGACCCGGAATCCGCGCTACTGGAGGCTAATATGCCGCCGCTCCACGTCCTTTGCCTGCGCGCGCGGCTCTCAATATTTGAGAACACACGCGCATGTCAGATGGACTGGATGCGGAGACCCCCGCCTGAGCCACCACCTCGCGCCGGTTTCCGCATCTCGCCATTATCTCGGGACGAGCTATATGCCTTCGTAGACGCATACACAAAGGACTATGGCATCACCGAGAGCTCACCACGCGAAGAGCGGTTCTTTCGCAGCTCCATTCCTCCCTGGTTTGCGGCCTCCGCTCACCGGGTCACCATCGGTGTGGAACTTCCGATAGACCACTCAATAACTGACGAAGAAGAGCTGATACGGGAAAAGCGCAGAGTCAGCGAAGAGGCTCTGGCGCTGCACAGCCATCGTTCGTGGATACTTACGAATAAGGGCGGTGTCGGCATTCCCAAGTCAGCAGGGGTTGGAATACTGCTTTCATCCCCGCATTCCTCGGAAATAATAGAGAAGGTCAGTACCAACGGCGGCACACGCCCATGCAGCCGCACGACGGAGTCCCGTGCACTGCTCCCGGCCATGGAAAGGCTGAGTGTCCATCGTATCCAGCACAGGCAAAAACCCTGCTTGTGGTTACGGACAGTCAGTCTCTTCTAGCGGCTCTAAACAAGGGCCCGCTCAGTCAGACAGACTGGACGGAGGATCGGATCTGGCAGCGTCTCTTGACACTGATGCGTGCTGGCTGGTCCGTGCACCTGCAGTTTTGCTACGAACATTGCGGAGTACACGCTAACGAGCCTGCAGATCAGCATGCGACGCAGACCACGGCAACCGGGCAACACACGGAGCAAGGAATCGCACGCATACGGCACACGGACCTGCTGACATGCATTAACACCCAGCTCACCAACAAGTGGCGTAGTACCATGCATCAGGACACCCACCACTACCTGCTTGGCGGCGCCAGGCCATCAGATCCAGGCGGCAAGCACCTGATCACTCAGGAAGCCCTCGACCAACAGGAACGGATACACACTGCACGGGAAGGGTGCGGGGAATCCGAGCTCTGGGGTCGCCTGTACTGGACTGTGAGAGACTGCACGAACCAACGCCGTTTCCGCAACGTATCACCGGAACAGTCTGCTTTCATGCGCTCCAACAAAGATCCCACTGCAGCGGGACGGAAGCTGTTCCCCCGACGACAAGGGAGGCCGACGCACCGCCTGTGGAGAGACGGCCCTCCACACAGCGTCGGAAGAAGAAATGCCGGCACTGTGACGCCACACTGGTGGGACACACGAACCACATCGGCCATTGTCGGTGCTTTCATCCGGAACGCCCTCCACCGCTTCCCGACCTCCACCGCGATTGCTGCGACACGGTCCTCCCCACACAAAAAAAGCACTGCACAGCACAGAAATCGCCGCGCACAAAACCCAGACGCTACTCGGCACCGCAGCAGCAGTGCCAGGAGGCAATCTCTGCTACCGCAGGATCAGCCAGTCTCCACAAGCGCAACAATTAGCCCGCAGAAAACACTGCACCATCTGCTTCCGGAATGTGCAGACGCTCTGGCTGTGCGCCAACGGCTGGGCATCAAGAAGGACCTTCGCACCGAAAGCTTCTCCCAATGGCAGCTGCCTCATAGCAGGAAACTCATGTCGCTGCTCGACCACCTCCTCGGCACCCTGATGACATCGTGTGGCTAGACATGTCGGTAAGAGCAGGGAAAAATAATAACAATGAGCATTCCCGCCACTATAGAGACGTGGTGCATCTTGCGATCCCGCTGGCGGCTCTCCTCTTCCACCGCTGTTTTTGCGCAGGAGGTCACCACAGTCATTTCTGTGGTTTGGTCGGCCTCGTGTTGTGCTCCGGGTTCTCCTCCTTCATCGCCCTGCGGTGCTTCCTTCGCCGTCCCCGGCACCTGTGACTGTCCCGTGACGGTTTGTTCCGAAGCCCGACTGCCCTGGGAGGTCCTCCCGCCACCAGCATGCACTCCACACGCTGCCTGCTGAGATGCGTCGGAGCGTGGGGATGCTGTGCCTGCAGCGTGCCCTCCGCCCAAAGACTCCGGTCCACTTGCACGCATCCGAGCAGCAGACGCGCTGCCAGTGCCGGACGGATTGCTAGTGCCACTTCGCAGTGGGTCGTTCCTGGATTGGTCCTGCCTCGTCGGTGCAGTGAGTGGTCCTCCCGAGGTGGGATTGGGGTCCTCACCCTCAATGCTTCCTCCACCCTCCTCGTCTTCCTGATTGCTATTGCCCTCAGAGTTCACATTCCCCTTTCGTCCAGAGCCACCGGCCACAGGTCCACCTTCCGCAGCCATCACAGCTTCCGCGTGCCCAGCAGTCACCGCGCCATCACCCGCGGGCAGCACACGCACCCCGTCGCATCAGCCCTCACTCACACGCACGAGCAGCTGCGCATCCCTGCAGGATCCAACAGGACGCAGAGCACACGGCCAGTCATCATCACGAACAGTGGAGTCGCCTAACGCTGCGGAGCCAACCTCCGATAGCACGAGAAAAGCAAAAAGATAGACACAGCCGCTACACCACGCACAGCCACCGCAAAGTCACAAATGGCAGCACCCCAGCAGCAGCGCACACACCACGAGACAGATGGAATCAGTACGATTGCAGAGCTCACACACCGCCCCGCAAACCACAAGCTTAAAAAGCAATAAAAAACAATAATTAAAAAACAGAAATTAAAAAAGAAAAGAAAACAAACCCAGGGCTCCAGTGCGCATGCATATGAGTGTGTTCGCGATGCGTTCAACGTGGCGGATGCGGGGCACAACGCGGAGCACACAGCACGGCAGCAGAAGCAAGTGAAGCAAAAAAAGATCATTATTTCCTCTTATTTAGTACAGTGAACCACAACACACGCGCACAAATCCCCGCGGTTGAGTGCTGGCACGCACAGCCCGCACACACCTCTTCAGCCCACAGCGGTGTACGCCAGCGCGGATGCGGCGAGCAGCAGCGGGGCACACACCCATGCAGAGCTGCTGAGGCTGCCGTCCATTTCGCGAAGACGCGACGGTGCGCTGGTGGTCGACACAGTTGGTGCCTCTGTAGTCGTAGTGCTTGGTGCCTGTGTTGTAGTAGTGGTCGTCGTTGGTGCCTGTGTTGTGGTCGTGGTCGTCTGAGCAGGATCTTTGGCCTCCCGAGCTGCTTTATCTGCGGATGTATTAGTGCCACTTTGTCTTCCTGTCGTACCGTCCTTGCCTTCTGCCTGTAACGTATTGGGCACGACATTTGACTGCGGTTTCCCAGCGGTCACATCTGGTCCTTCTCCGTCAACGTTTCCCTGATCCGGAACAGAACCCGTACTTAACGTTCCTGGCTGACCGGTCCCCTGTGGTGAATCTGGTGGTGGCGGTTGAACAACATCTACATTAGGTTTGGGGTCGGGCTCCTCCTTGGGGACTGGTGGCTGTGCTGTAGTCGTGGTCGTCTGGGAAGAAGCAACGGCTTCCTCTGCCACGCACACGGACGGGCAGCAGCAGCACAGGGCAAGCACCAACAGGGCGCACAGCAGACGGCACGTCATCATCGTGAGTGTGGTCGTTCAGTGGTGTGGAGCTGATCTGCACAGTGAGGGAAATGGAGAGCAACAGGAGAGACGAGAGGTGCGGCAGACACACACAGAGGGCACACCACATGAGGAGAGGGCAGCAGCCAGGCATGCACCGTACGCCGCACACCACGCACGACACACACTCCAATCCACGGCAGCAGGCACACACACACACACAGCCCTGCCGCAACACCAACACACAGATGGAAGAGGGAGAAGCAAACAGGAGCGGCACACAAGGCTCCACCGCATGCACATACGGCGAGAGCGGTCCGTCGTGTCGGCACCCCACACGGAGGGTGCGCACACACAAGAAGGTGCAGCGCACACAGCAACACAAATGCAAAGTAACAATACAAAAAGGAGATCCCCGCACACCACGCGGATTGTTGGTCCACGGGAAGTGCAGCCAATATTCATCACAAAGCAGCTTGTTATCTTGTTTTGGTTGTATGCTGCTACAATAATGAGTGAGTAGCGCAAGGGCCGTCCGTACAAAAGTGGCAAGTATTCCGTCGTGCGGGCTGGGGCAGTCACAAACAGTCGCAGTCCAGATTCCCAACGAAGAGGGCATTCCCGCAGTGGATGAGGCGGAGTCTCCCGTGGTCCGTCGGGGATCAGCAGCCCGTGGCGTCCGTGATGAGGCGGTGGCGGAAGAGCCTGGTCCATCTCGAGTACCCGCGTTTGTGCTTCCTGAGTGTCTCGCCTGCCGGCATGCTTGGCAACTTCGGTGGCGACCTGCGCGCGAGGCACCTGTTAAGAAGACGGTGGCGCCATTGTGGCATCCGCATGGGAGGCCCTCGCAAACTATTATAACGCCAGGCTGAGCACGTCCGGCATGTGCCCTCATACTGTGGACGGACAAGCGCACTCAGCCGCAGGTTGGGCAGGAGGACGTCAATCCGCCGCTCGCTGGTCGACAAGGAGTCGCGGTGCTCACGTCGGGAAGAGGTTCCGGCGGAGGCAGAGGCAGGCCGGCCACCGCAGTGAGGGAGGGACGGCACCACCGACACAGAGGGTTCCTTGTGATCCGCAGGGCGCGTGCAGGCCTGTCGAAGAGTGGGCAGGAGTCGCATCGCGCCTGTGCGCAGTGCCGCCACTCGGGGACCGATGTCCGGGTCAACACCAGGAACAGAGTCCTCGCCACACCGACAGGCGCCTGTCACGCGGTGTGCGCGCCCTCCTTTTCCTCCTGGGCATCCTTCCAGTGCCGTCGCTTCACGGCGGCGAGAAATTCCACGTGCCAGGCATTGACGCAGTCCTGCGAGAGGGATCGTGCAATCGTGCCATGACGGCGTCAGCGTCCGCTGTCACGTTGCGTGGAATATCGCAGTGTGATGGGAAAATGTGGATTCAGCCGTGTGACCTCAATCCGCCAGTGAATGCGGCACGGTACAAATCTCCTTGCTGACGTCATCGTGCACCGCCAGCGGGCCAAGGCGGAGTGACTCCATCGCCGAATGGGAGTCTGTGGCGACAGGAACTCGTGTGGGCGATTGGGATGCTGCTGCCAGGCGGGGAACTGGGAAGTGTCCGAGGCCATGCTCAGTGGCAGGACACTCCGCTTGGCAGGTGCATGCAAGGCTGCCAGCAGCTGCGCGGTGAGGCCCCACAGGGAGCGCGGCTTTCCGGGGAGTAAAGTGGCAGCGCGGCGGATCCAGACGCACGCACAGCGAGAGAAGACGGGCCGTCCACCGCCAACGCAGTTGCCAGCGAATAACAACATGATGACCATGAATAGGAGACTTATGCCCGCGCTGCCGTGGGCACGGACAGCGGCCTCGATTCACTCAGCAACAGTTATCTAATGCCCTTGGATGGTACAACAGCCACGCCTGAGCCCATCACAGTCCTAGCAAATGTTGAACGAGTGGTAACGTGTTGGGTGGCGCTGATGCCGCACCGACTTCTTCGAGCACAGCGCCTGGGGAAACCAAGATCCCATCGGAGTACAACGCAGCATCACTTGTTAGCAACGGTTTTTGTGAGCAGGGGCTTCTCACGGATTTGTTGGCCATGGCCGAAATTGGTGACATCGCCGTGCATGGGTGTGCGTCTCGGGTGATGTTGCTCTTGATTCTGGGGCTGTGGGGTACTGCGGCGCTCTGCTGAGGTGTGAGGGAGGGTGGAATTGTGGCTTTTTGTGGAACAATAACCGTGCACCTTGCCAGCATTATCCAATGAGTTGTGTCAATAATCTAAGTTTTTTTATTTTCTTCTGTTTATTTGTTTTTGCTGCTTTTGCCCTATTGGAATAATCAGCATCCCTGTGTTTTCCCCCAATGCCCGTTTGCTGAACTTTGTCATGAGTGACGTGCTTCTCTTCTTGTTTCCTTCCGCTGCCCACACGCGGTGCCGGCCTCATTGCTGTGCGTCCCACGGACTGCACAAGAGGAGGATTGGAAGAAAAGACTGGGTGACGCACGAAATGTGAGGAGAGTTGTGTGGGCTCACGGAAAAGCACGATATTTTTTGATTTTTTACTGCAGGCATTACGTATACAAGAACTAGTGGTCGTTTACGTTGCGCTGCTTGGCACATAAAATAAAGGACGTCCCTGATCGATTTTTTATTTTTTACTTTTTGGGAATTTTACCGGACTCTCAACTCTGCTGTTGTGCCTTTTTTACTGCTTTTTTAACTTTTGGTTTGGGGATCACTGTGCGAGCTCTGCAATTGTACTGATTACAACTGCCTCATGGTGTTTGCATTGCCATTTGTGACTGTGCGGTGACGGTGCGTGATTGCGTGACGTGTCTCCCCTTTTTGCTTTCACTCTTCGTTGACGGGGAGTTAGTTTGTGCTGAAGGCTAAACGCAAGTGAAAGGAGTGGTGATGATGATGACTGGCCGTGTGCTGCTGGTGTGTGCCCTCTGCGTGCTGTGGTGCGGTGCCGGCGGTAGATGTGACGAGGAGGTGGTGGAGATTCCTGCCGGTGGTGGTAAAGTTGCTGTGGGGTCGACTGGAACTTCAACGCCAGGATCAGATAGCTTAGATCCAACAAAAGGTTTGCCCAAGGTTAATCAATCAACAGAAAAGTCTGAAGGAAAATCCTTGGAAGGAAAAGAAGTTAAAAATGATCAACTGTTTGTTGCTCCTGGAGTGGAGGGTGAAGATAGAAGCCCTTCAGAGCAATTAGAAGAACGTTTGGAAAATGCTCCAGAACAAGGAAAAACAAAGCCAGAAATACAAAATAAAGAACAGGAAGTAGGGCAACCGCCAAAATCGCAATTAAATGTACTACAGCAACCGCAGCCACAACCGCAGCCACAACCGCCATCAGCACCTCAGCCACACATTTCTTCTTCACAAAGGGTGAAGGTGTTGGCGAGAACAGTAAGGGTGGAGAAGGTCAGTCCTCATTGGGTGTGGAAAATAGTGGAAACGAGGATCCACACAACCCCAGAGAAGAAGACTTATTAAAGAGTCCAGGTACAAAATCAGAAAGCAGTGAACAGGTCCAAACGACAGTGCCAGACACAGTACCGCCGGAGCACAAAACCCAAAATGAAGTGTTAACTCCGGAACAAAAGACGAATGAAAGCCAAAGCACGGATACATCCACGAACCTACCCGAAACACAAAAGGAAAATAAAGAATATTCTGCCTCCACGGAAAGTACGGCGCAGAGTACATCAACTGGCAGTAAAAACAAGAAGCTGAGCCATCTACAAGCGAAGAACCTTCCCCTTTTGAGGAGGAACACTCCACAGGGACGAAGACATCTGAGGAAGCTCGAACTCCGGATGCTGCAGCAACAGAAAAACGCCAAACTGGCGATAATGAAAAGGTTGGCGACAGCGACAGCAGCACCGCGGTCTCCCACACCACCTCCCCTCTTTTGCTTCTTCTTCTTGTTGCGTGTGCTGCTGCTGCGGTGGTGGCCGCGTGAGAGTGAGTGTGAGAGAGCCGTGCACCGCCCGCACACACACTCTTCCTTCTCTCTCTGTGTGTGTGTGTCCCCTTGCATGGACTCTCGCCCTCACCTCACCCCACGAAGCACACACAATAATGTGCCCATTGTATATATGCATGCACACCCATGCATGCCCGTTGGTGCTCTCTTTTGCACGACACGCACCGCTGCCGTCCTGCCTGGCTGCATGGGCGGAGCACCGTAACTGTTTCTGTTTTGTTTTTATTGCATTGAGTGGGCGACCTCTCTCTCTCTGTGTGTGTGTGTTTTGCTTTACGGGAGTAATGAGAGTGTGTGTGCGCTGGTCGTCCCACGCTTCGGCTTTTTGTTTTGTTTTCCTTTTTGATTTTGTGGTTGAGTGCACCCATTCCGCGGCTGCGTGTTTGTGTGTGTGATGATATGAGCAATTTGCGTGTTTTATCTGTTTCTTTCTTCCATTGCCTTCTTTGAACAATTGTGCCGCACAGCTGCTCTGCAAGTATATCCACTGGCAAAAACAAATGCACACACACGCCATTATGCATACTCTGTAGAGCGGCGTGATAGCTGAGAATGGATGCACGCACAGGATTGTGGCTGCGACGTCCCTTGCGAGGAAGGAGGACGGGAGCCTGCGGTTTATTTTTTGACACGTTGCAGGCGTGCAGTCGATTGGGTGGTGTGGCTTAGGGTGCCAGGGACAAGTGCGGATTGCTTCTTGCCCAGCAGCTGCACGTGCCAATGTGTATCTCCCATGCTGAGTATACTTTGGTCAGGGATTCTTTGCCTGCGTGGGTGATGTGCGCTGGCGGATGCGCTGGAAGGGTGAACAGTAAAACGACGGGCGGCAGCGCGTGGGCTTTGGGAAGGACGGTCGTGCTCTTTTGCATTCCGCTGGTTGTTTTGTGTGTGGGCGTCGCCTGGTGTGTGCTGAAGCGTGAATAACAACACACCCGCCGTGGCTTCTTCTGGTGGTGGCAGTCGCTGTTTGTTCCCGGTGCACTTCTTCTCGTTCCGTGTGTCTGCGTGCGTGAGTTGTTGTTGTGGGGAGTGACTGCGGCGGGGATGATGGTGCCACTCACAGTGTGGATGGGTGACGGTGCTTATTCTTTCACCCATATTTTATTACCCTGTTTTCTTCATTTCTTTCACTCTCTTACGAAGAAAGCAAACAAGCGCTAATCGCCACTGTGAAATTGTAAGGCTCTGAAAGGACCAACAGCACACACACCGCCCACACACACATATTTCTATGCTCTCACGTGTTGCTGCAGTGAAGGCACCCCGCACACACAACCGTCGCCGCGTGACCGGATCCAGCGGAAGGAGGAGGGAAGGAAGAGAGAGTGAGCCGCAGAGGCCCAACATGTCCCGGCGTGTGTTTAATTCCGCGGTGCTGCTCCTCCTCGTCGTGATGGTTTGCTGCGCCACCTGTGGAACTGTGCAAGGTGAGGAGGATCTGCCGGCAGTTCCAAAGTATCAATTGGAGGACATCAGTGAAGGTGATGGAAATCTGGAGTCGTTGGGTGCTCCCGGCCTTTTGAAAGTGGGGAGTGACGTATTTGCCGTTGCCGAGGCTCAATGCAAGAATAAGGATGGAGATAACGTCTTTACTGGGATTGCATCCCAACTTCTCACGATAGAAGGCGGTAACAGACCGGAGGAAGTGCTTAAGAATGCCAGAGTGATACAAGTTCTGGAGGAATTCACTTCTGCAAAGGAGAAGACGAGAGTAGATGTGAGCCGACCGACAACGGTTGTGGGGGAAAGTAATATTTACATGCTTGTTGGGAAATACAGCCGTAATGGTGGTCAGGAGAGTGGTGCAGGTGACTGGGGATTCTTGATGGTGAAAGGGGAATTCAGTGGTGAAGAAAGTAAAAAACAAATTGACTGGAAAGATACCAACGCTGTCCCGAAGACACCTTTGGGCGAACAACCTTCATCCTTGACAGGACTGATTGGAGGCGGCGGATCGGGTGTTAAGATGGAGGACGGTACACTTGTTTTTCCACTGGAAGGCACGAAGAAGGATGACGTAGACGCAGGAAAGGATGGAAAGACAACTACCGTTTCTTTGGTACTATACATGCAGGATACTAAGAGTTGGAAGCTGTCGAAGAGGATGTCTGCCGATGGCTGCAGTGATCCCTCCGTCGTGGAGTGGAAGGACAAACTCATGATGATGACTGCGTGTGGTGATGGCCGCCGCAGGGTGTACGAGTCCGGCGACAAGGGGGAGTCGTGGACGGAGGCACTCGGGACACTCTCGCGTGTGTGGGGCAACAAAAAGGAAAATGAGAAGGACGTTAGGAACGGGTTCACCACAGCGACTTTTGGTGCTGGAGGTGAGCAGAAGAATGTGATGCTCGTTGCTCTGCCGGTGTATGCCAAAGAAAAAGAAAAGGGTGAACTCCATCTTTGGCTGACGGACAATACGCACATTGTTGATATTGGGCCGATATCCGGGAAGGACGATGACGCTGCCGCCAGCGCCCTGTTGTACAAAAGTGCTGGAAGTGGAGCTGATGATAATAAGAAGGAGGAGTTGGTTGCACTGTACGAGAAGAAGAAGGGCGATGAGAAAGAAAAACCATCGCCCGGTATGGTCTCTGTGCGTCTGACTGAGCAGCTGGAGCGGGTGAAGGATGTGCTGGCGACCTGGAAGAAAGTGGACAAACGTGTCTCCCAGCTGTGCCCTTCTGAGAGCGCTGAGAAGGCTCCCTCACCTGACACTGCCTTCAAAAACATTAAGATCACGGATGGGCTGGTTGGCTTTTTGTCCGGCAACTTCTCTGATAAGACATGGAGGGACGAGTACCTCGGGGTGAACGCCACAGTAAAGAAGGGAACGAAAGAAGGAGCGGCTGCAGGGGTAGCAGAGACTGCAGAGTCTTCCGATGGAGTGAAGTTCCAGGGAGCGTGGGCGGAGTGGCCCGTTGGCAAGCAGGGGGAGAATCAGCTGTACCACTTTGCGAACTACAACTTCACTCTTGTGGCGACGGTGTCCATCCACGGTGTGCCGACGAAGGAGGGAGATACCCCCATTCCAGTGATGGGTGCGAAGATGAGTGACGATGATAAGAATCCAGTACTCCTGGGACTGTCGTACAACAACAAAGAGAAAAAGTGGACATTACTGTGTGGCGACGGAAAGAATACGGAGCACAGCAGCACTTGGGAGACACAGAAGGATACAACACGGTACCAAGTGGCCATTGTGCTGCAGAACGGCACTCAGGGCTCCGCGTACGTCGATGGTAAGCGTGTGGGTGAGCCATGTAAAGTGGAAAGTAAGGAAGATAAAAAGATCTCCCACTTCTACATTGGAGGGGATGGAAGCAACAAAGGGAGCCAAGAAGGCGTGTCTGTGACTGTGAGGAACGTCCTGCTGTACAACCGCCCGTTGGATGACAGTGAGATTTCTGCCCTTAATGCAATTAAACCCCCGATTACGCCTCCGAAGGACCCAAATGCGCAGGAAGTCGTGTTGCCTTCTCCTGGCAGAACACCGCATGCGGGACAGGAACCTTTGAATGGAGGCGAAGGTGCTGACGGTGGAAGTGCATCCCCATCAGCAGTGTCCGCTTCAACGACTTCCTCAGGAAGTGGGCAATCTGTGAACCAACTCGCGCCAGGAAAGCCTCCCGATGGAAATGAAGATGTGGATGTCTTTTCCTCGTCTAGCGGTAACCCGACGTTGGGGGAGGGGAGTGCAGATACGATACAGGGAGATGGACCACACAAACCTTCCGTGGGTAATACCGCCGCCGCCGCAGATACAAACGTTCTTGCCGCTAAAGGCGAGGGGCACGATGGACCCGCATTGACAGCTGATGTGAGCGTGAGCTCTGGTGCGGATGGGGAGACGGCAGGAGGAACGGATGCGCAGGAGGAGCAGGAGATCCATCCGCAGGACAGGGAGGTAAAGTCTGCGGCCCTCAGCAGCAGCCTCGGAAATTTGTCGCAGGGGAATAACACCGATGCGTGTACTGTAAGTGAGAGTGGACTGCTGCAGCTGCCGCTGCTTCTTCTGTTGGGACTGTGGGGGTTTGCGACTGCGTGAGGAGTGACTGGCTGCCGCGTGGGAAACTTGCGACCTTCCGAGCACAGAAATACTATTCCCATGGGAACAAATTTCACTCATAAATCCTTTTTTTTGCTTATTTTAAAATCCTTTTACTATTTGCTTCTTTTTGGTTGATTTTACTTTTTTTTTCTAATCCCTCGTTCCTTCGCTTTTTTGCTTTTGGGGGCAATCACTATGGACGTTTTTTCTTCTTTTCTACTCTTCCCTCTTTAATTGTTTGTTGCTGCACTCTTCCTGTGAGGGGTGCCGTGTGTTTCCGCCCAACTGCTCCACTCGCACACCCACCGACACGCTCATGACGACGGCCCTGTGCGCCTCGCCTGCTGCACGCATGAGGAGGGGCCGCGACGAACGGCGCGCTGAGGGAGCCGTGACGTGTGGGCGTGCGACGAGGGCCTGTGGGGCGGAGCACACATTTCTTCCCTCTTGTTTTGTTTTCTTTGCGGCCAGGGCTGGCAGACACCCGCAGCGCCACACAAACACAGCCACACCCTGCCGCCGATGATTTCTTTTTTCTTTTGCTGCGCTCAATCTCCCGATGGAGTGACGCGACTCCCGTCGTGTCTGCGTGCTTCTCTCAGTCCCCCCACACACGAGTGACTGTGCTCTGCGGGCCGCACTCACGCGCCGATGAGAGGGCTGCGGGGAGCAGCAACACGCAGATGACCCCATGAAATATAAACGATGTGCGGACACATGGAGGCCGGACGGTTGAAAGACATTTAAATATCTTTTAGTTTTTGGGCAAAATATACAGACAGTTTGGTGTGGCCACACGGCAGCCGGCAGCTCTTTAAATGTTATTTGTGTGGAACAGTAATGGACGATTTCTTTTTTTTTATTTATAATTATTTTGTGTGGTGGGGTTTGTATAAGACGAAGGGGACGTTTTTTTTGTTTTAAATAAGTCTTGTGTGAATTGCCGCTGCTCGGACTGCAGTGCAATCATGAGTTTGAGCGGTCTTTTTCCTGTTGTTTCCGCCATGCGTCTCTGCTGTACATTTTTGTGCGTCTCTCCACATACTCTGCTCCCTCTTTTCTACTTCTTTGCTTTGTGTTTCTGCAGGCACATACGACCACGCACACAAGATGCACATTGCAGTGGATTTGAATGCTCCTTTTGTAGTGCATGGAGGCAGTTGCGTGTGGCGGCTGTTGTCTTCTTTCGTGGCCATGAGGAGAAGGAAAGAGGGAGAGCGCAGCCCGACTCTCTTTTCCAGCGGGTGTGATGCACTGCGTGTGACTGCGTTGAGTTGAGCTCCGTGTCCCATTGAGGGCGGGATGGCGGGAAATTTTGTTGCCGTGTTATGGTTGGATGAGGGTTCGCTTGCGGTTGTGGCTGGTGTGGTGGTGCTCGTCCGTGTGCGTGACGGCGGCTGGGATTCCTGGAGATGTATCTGGTGATGCGGATGCGGTGGTTGTGCCGGTGGATGTGTCGTGTGCTCCGAGTGACGGCAGCCTGAGCTATCGCGTGTGTGTGTGGGCGTGGACGAAGTGTTCTGCTGCCAGTGCTGAGGCTCAGCATGAGAATTACATTTTCAGTGGCTTTGATGTGCGCATGCATGGCAGGAATGGTGAGCTGGGTGCTGTGTGCCATGTGGCCAATGCGGTGCACACATGTAGCAACTGTGCTGTCAGCTGTGCAACGGAAGAGGAAGGGGCCACCGTTGCCTTCACGATGAATGTGACGGCACATAAATACGCCGGCCCTTATGAATTGTTGTGGCGCCAATTTCCCCCCGATGGAACCATCCATCCGCCTGCACGGAGCAGCGATGCTGACCGGACGGGCATCTGTCAGTTGCCGCCACCCCGTGAAGGGAAGGATGACACAAAATCCGGCGAGACAACTGCGCCGCAAGTGAATGCTGAGCCGTCACGTCAGAACGAGGATTGGCGACGGTCTGCGGCGGCTGACGGACCCAACACCGTCGATCGGAGTCCCGCATCCAACACGGCGACCAACACGTCCGAGACGAGGCCTGAGTTTGCCTTTGTTCGGAACATAACGGTGGCTCCGACACCACCCAAGAGGAAGCCTAGCATTGCCATGAGTCGGAACATAGAAATGGATCTGAATGCATTCGTGACGAAGACTGCGCTCGCCACCGCGTTGAGGAAGGCAGTGGGCTCGAGGGATGCCCGTAAGAGTGAGGCCGTTGACGGCAGCGGCGAGCACGTTCCTGGGAAAATTGCGGGAGGAATGAATGGTCACAACGTCCCCGGAACACCAAAACGGCATCAAGAAATGTGTCCTTGCGCGATCTGGAGCGGCGTGAGTCCAGACGGCCGCCTCGTCCTGTTTGACGACGTGGAGTTGATACCACGCGATTCAACTGGCGGCCGCACAGCGCGTGTGTGCGTGTCTCTGGCGTTGCTGCTGCTGCTGCTGGAACTGTGTGGAGTTGTGGTAGTCTTTCGAGCGAAAGAGGGTGGAATTGTGACTCCCCACGGGGGATATTTGCCGCATACTTTGCGGTTTTTATGTCAATTTTTCTTCTCCTCTTTTTTAATGATTTACGGATCGCTTTTTAAACCTTTTTTTCTTCTTTGTAATGTTCTTTTTGATGCTTTTCCACTGGAGTAATAAGTGCCCTTTTTTTTCTCATTATTTAATGTTCGGTTGATGTGCACTGGAATGGGCGACGTGTTTTCTCTCTTGTGTGTTTCTTTTTTGCTGTTGCCCACACGCGGTGCCGGCTCCGCTGCTGTGCTTCCCACGGACTGCAGGAACGGGGATTGGATGAAGAGGCCGGATGCCGCGTGAAATGTGAGGGATGTTGTGTGGGCTGGGAGTAATAAGATTTTTTTCTTTTTTCATTACATTTTTTACTTGTGCAGGTAATATTTATACGCACGTGATCGTCTTGTGCTGCATGGCACACGAAATGGAAGTCCTACTGATTCATTTTAGTTTCTTTTTTAAAAAATCCCTGCGGACTTCTTTTTGTCCGTGCCGTGTCCACTGTCACTGTGTGCCTCCGTGTGTCGTTGGGTGTCCCTCTGCTGGCTGTGTTTCTGAACTGCCCTCATATCTTTTTCTTCATTTCTGCTAGAGGCGCCGATGGTTTGCGACGACGGTTGTTTGTGCTACCCATTGCGATGGCACGAGGGTGACTGGGCGCCGGCCTCCTGAGTGCCCTCGGAGGGAGAAGATGGTGTGCGCCGTGCCTCACTGTGAGTGTGGGACGCCACTAGCCGTGCGGAGAGAAGTAAATGGCTGTGCGGTATGTAATTGGATGCACCCCGTCGCTCTCGTTGCCGCCGTGTGTGTGCTGAGCGCATGGCAGTATCTTGCGGTGCGAAGTGGATGGCATTTCTTCCGCGTGTGCCCTCGTGCATGTGCTGTGCGGCGGGCATCTCTTCCCCATGACACCGCCCTTTTGTGTGGGACAGTGGAGGGAAGTGGAGATGTGTGAGGGAGTGAGGGTGGCCGTTGTTTCCCCACATTTGCTTCTTCCACACACGTGGCGCCTCTCGGCAGCCTCTCGCAGCACCAGGCCGTGGATTGAGAGGATGTGAGGGTCTGCTCCAAGTACACGGAGGACGACAAGATGCAGTTCATGACGGCCAACCTGATCGGCCTGTGGTTGCAGCGCATGGAGCACGTGCGCCTGTACACGTTGGGTGTTGCGTTCATGATTGGAGAGGAGAGGCGGCACGACACTGTGGCGCTGTGGGTGTTGCGCGGCCGGGGCATGCCGACGATTGTGAGGGACGTGGAGGACACGGAGCTGTTTGACTGAGGGAGGAGGTGTCGTACGTTGCGGCGCAGCGGGAGCGCATGACGGACTGCGTGTGCTGGAGGGGCGCGTGTTGAAGTGGGCGTGGCGTGCCTGTGAGGGACTGGGGAGAGGGAATAACAGTAACAATGACTGTGAGAGTGTGAGGAACAGGGCACTGGCGAGGAGCACTTCTTTTTTTGATTGTTGTTGAACCATGCCCACCCAATTGTTGTTGTGGTGCGTGACTCTCATTGATGGATGGGACGGTTCTTGGCTTGTCTCTCCTTTTGCTTTTGCTCTGCGTTGACGGGGAGTTAGTTTGTGCTGAAGGCCACACGCAAGTGACAGGAGTGATGGCGATGATGTTGACTGGCCGTGTGCTGCTGGTGTGTGCCCTCTGCGTGCTGTGATGCGGTGCCGGTGGTGGTGACGCGTGGCCTGTGTGCTACTGCGCTGATGGTGGAATGGACGACGCGGGGCTTGCGAGGGGAATGGATGGCGAAGTGGTGTTTGCGAGGAGGGACTGCGTGTCGAGTGCCGCCTTACGGGGAGTAGCCGCGGCGGTACCGGCCGGTGAGGACGGCGGCGTTGGTGCAAGCGGAACGCTCAACAGTGATTCAGGACAACCACCGGTCGGTGATGCAGGGAGCGGGACTGAAGCTCAGCGGCAGTGGGGCTGCACCAATGGCTTCATCTTCTTCTGCTGCCGATACAGACGCTGCCAGCAGTACTCCTGTCTCGGGTGCTGGTGGTGGTGTTGGCCCCAAGCAGCAGCCCGCAGTTGTCTCCGGCGTCCAAGACGATCCTCCCGCTGGTGGAAGTGAGGCAGGAGAAAGGGAGGAGGCAGGCTCAGCATGCTGCGGCGAAGAGCCGTCAATGTCGAGTGTGTGCTCCCAACCGCCACAATTTTCTGCGGGGTCGGCAACTCTCACCGTGGAAGAGAGGGATGGAAAGAAAGGCGGCGCGTCAGTTACAAATATTCAGAGCGAGTGGGCACAACAGGAACGAGAAGGGCCACACGTGCTCAGGACGGGGGAGAGCGCACGGAGAACTCCAGCACCAGCGCCAGCAGAAGGACAAACAGCACATGCGACGCAGCCGTCCGAGGACTCAGCAGAGCATGCAGCTGCACCCAGCTCGGGTCTCACACGGGGCGCATCGAACGGCGACAGTCAAGAGCAAACACCGCAGCCTCAAACAGCGACTGACGCTGAGCAGAGTGTGTCCGTGGTACAGGGAGTGCCAGAATGGGCTCGGGAGGACCAGGGGATGTGGTGAAAGGAGCAAAAAGAAATCCGTAATGTTTGACTGGCAGCGCGCACAATGCAGAGCACGCACCTGCAGCTGAAGCACCCGAATGACTGTCTGCTTCAAGCACCAGTCGCTCCCCTGGACATCCGGGCACAGAGTCTGCTTCAAAGTCGCTCTCTGGAAATTATCGATCGTTTACGACCGGTGCAGCAGAACAGGGAGAAGCACGGCCAATGCCCCTGCGACAGCCAAAACCGCCGGCACAAGGAGGTGCAGAGGAGGAAGCTGCATCGGAAGAAAAAAGAAGCATGGGAGGAATTGCCGCCAACAGCAGCAGAATAAGAGGCGCCAGCAGACCCATCAGAACCCCCACCGAAATCACCACCACACAGCGCACTGCCATCCTCAACGGAAGTTCCAGCGACCATGAAGCCAACAGAAGATCTGCAGAAAAGGCACTGAACCAACAGCGGATGCAAGGCAGAATGCAATAACTGAGGGTCAGGCTGAGACAGCTTCACCATCTTCTTCTGCGGATGCTGCTGCTGCCGCCAATGACGCTGACGCGGGCAATGCGTAGATTTTGAACGGTGGTTCCGCATCTCATGCCGCTGTGCCGGAGGGAGAACACCAACATGAACGAGAGGATGGCAGCGAGAAGGAAACAACATCATCTACAGCCACAGACAAAACGAATAACCCAGCGGCGCCTGGCGACAGTGACAACATCGATGCTGTTTTCCACACCACCTCCCCTATTTTGCTTCTTGTTGTTGTTACTTATGCGGCCGCAGTTGTGGTGACTGTGCCTGCATTAAATTGAGTGCGATGAATGTGGACGAAGGCCTACTGCAAATGAACTGCTTGTGATGAATATTGGCTGCACTTCCCGTGGACCAACAATCCGCGTGGTGTGCGGGGATCTCCTTTTTTATTGTTACTTTGCTTTTGTGTTGCTGTGTGCGCTGCACCTTCTTGTGTGTGTGCGCACCCTCCGTGAGGGGTGCCGACACGACGGACCGCTCTCGCCGTATGTGCATGCGGTGGAGCCTTGTGTGCCGCTCCTGTTTGCTTCTCCCTCCTCCATCTGTGTGTTGTTGTTGCGGCAGGGTTGTGTGTGTGTGTGTGTGCCTGCTGCCGTGGATTGGAGTGTGTGTCGTGCGTGGTGTGCGGCGTACGGTGCATGCCTGGCTGCTGCCCTCTCCTCATGTGGTGTGCCCTCTGTGTGTGTCTGCCGCACCTCTCGTCTCCCCTGCTGCTCTCCATGTCCCTCACTGTGCAGATCAGCTCCACACCACTGAACGACCACACTCACGATGATGACGTGCCGTCTGCTGTGCGCCCTGTTGGTGCTTGCCCTGTGCTGCTGCCCGTCCGTGTGCGTGGGACGTTCTACGGAGGAGACCATTGTTGTTCGTGAGGTTGATGATGTAAAGGAGCCCACCAGCTCGAGTACTTTGTCCTCTGAGTCGCAAGTGGAGGACAATTCCCATGAGGAACGGGGTTCAGGTACGGGGTCCAGTGAGGAAGGGAAAACAAAAGTGCCAGTGACCCCAGGTTCTTCCGGTGCCGTAACGCAATCAAATGAGGCGAAAATGCCGGTACAGACAGGAGAAAAGAAAGGTACGACAGAAGATGAAAATGGTACAACAGCGCCAAAGTCGCAAAGTAAGGGGTCCACTGTGGAACAGGGAGAGGCTGACGTAGGTGGAGTAAAAAGTTTGACAGCTCCGAAACGGCAGTCAGGCGATGCTATCGATACTGTACACGAAGAAGATGGGAGTACGACAGGGCCACAAAGCCGCACGACTAAATCCGCAGACCAAACAGATCGAGAAACCAAAGATGCTGCCGCGACGACCACGACGACCACCACTACAACAGAGGCACCAACTACTACAACCACTGCGCCAACTGCGATGACCACCCGCGCACCGTCACGTCTTCGCGAAATCGACGGCAGCCTCAGCAGCTCTGCGTGGGTGTGTGCCCCGCTGGTGCTCGCCGCATCCGCGCTGGCGTACACCACTCTGGGCTGAAGAGGTGTGTGCGGGCTGTGCGTGCCAGCACTCAACCGCGGGGATTTGTGCGTGTGTGTTGTGGTTCACTGTATAAAATAAGGGAAAATAATGATTGTGTTTTGCTTCACTTGCGTCTGCCGTGCTGTGTGCTCCGCGTTGTGCCCCGCATCCGCCACGTTGAACGCATCGCGGACACACTCATAAGCATGCGCACTGGAGCCCTGGGTTTGTTTTCTTTTGTTTTTTAGTTATTGTTTTTTAATTATTGTTTTTTATTGCTTTTTAAACTTGTGGTTTGCGGTGCGGTGTGCGAGCTCTGCAATCGCACTGATTCCATCTGTCTCGTGGTGTGTACGCTGCTGGGGTGCTGCCATTTGTTGCTGTGCGTGGTGTAGCGGCCGTGTCTCCCTTTGTTTTTCTCGTGCTATCGCAGGTTGGCTCCGCAGCGTTAGGCGACTCCACTGTTTGTGATGATGACTGGCCGTGTGCTCTGCGTCCTGTTGGCTCCTGCGGTGATGCGCAGCTGCTTGTGCGTGTGAGTGAGGGCTGCTGCGACGGGGTGCGTGTGCTGCCCGCGGGTGATGGCGCGG